TTTGAGCACACAACAGCCAGGGCAACATGGTTAGATCCCTTTTCGTTGAGCTACAAGGTAGGATAATCGCTTGTACTGACCTGCTGCCAAGTGGTGATTGTCTATTGTTAACGGTGTTTGCAACAGAAGAGACAGCAAGGGCGGCCTTCCGGCTGACTTTTACAGCAATCTCTGCATATGTTACTGATGCCGCGGGGGACATTAGCTCGGCAAGAGGCTTTTGAGTTGCAGGTGCAAAGGGCTAGTTTTTGGCTCCTTCCTCCTTGTTAATGACAGATGTCAGGTCTAGTGGAAATTGATTAACCAAACGTTTCGGGTGGTGTCTGATTTTCGTTACCACGAGTACTGTCTGACTCTCACACCTACGGTTGATTTTCGCCTGGCGTTCTGCCAAAGTAAGAGGTAACGGCGATGGGGACCTGGCTGATTGCATTGCAGGGGAAGCAAAATGTGCAGCATTCCTTTGCTTAGAGGTCACTACGATTCCTTGGTGCACACCAGCTTCCAGTGAAGTAATCTTCATATTCATCCGCTACTCGGCTACTGCTGTTAGCCGGTCGCACTTCTGGACTAGGATAAGCATACATTTAACGAATGGGATGGTCGAACACGCAGTACAGAACCAAACGACGTCTTGGGAGCTATTTCGTTTCCGTACTTGTTGTTAGGATAAAGTCGCACACTTCGGATGATAACGATTTAAGCAATGCGAGCAGGCTAAACCTAATTTAACTGCTCGATGACATCCTGCTAATACCATTAGCCGGAAGCCCTTTTGGATGTGGGTTTGAGTGATTTCTGCCATTCAGCGTGGTGCCGTTACATCACCCAGTGGGTTGGTAGAACTTCTGTACTTCGCCAGCTTTGACAGCGGAACACATTGGTCAGGCGAGTGTATAATTACAAAGGTGAAATACACGGTCGGCGTGGCTGCGCGGTCCGTCTGGTTTTGTAAGTGCATTGGCTGGCAAGGTTGCAAGAAATGGCGAGTGACTGGGAGATTGAGAAATTCCGATTGCATACTGGGAGAGCAGCAGGCATCACAAAATGAAAGACAACAGCCAATGGCATTGGAGAAGCATGGCTTCTGGTTAACGCAATTTCCTTCAGCAGGTGCTTGAAAACGAATGCAAAAAATCTCAGAGACAATGAAAACCGAAAGGTTTGTCGCCTAGATAGAAGCGACAAATTCGCCATAAATGTAAACATAATCGGACGATGAAACGACAAGAATAATCCAGAATGTACTGCATACGTTGCAGAGCCGGTAAATCCAAGTGGAATAAGTGTAAGCACAAAGAGATGTGTAGCAAGTTGGTCATGGATAATGCACAAAAAGGCAAGACGGATGTATCTGAATGTATGTATCCGTTAGATGACTAAGTAGACCAATTAGGCGACTGATGCGGTACGTATGTCGCATCGTCGTTGCAGTTGGTCTGTAAGTGCGTGCACCTGCATGCTGAAATTACTGCATTTCAGGGATGGGTTGTTGATTGATATCAACGGTGTGGCTGCGTCTGATGGGAATGTTGATAAGTCGCCTACCTGTTTATTAAGCCCCACCTCGTCTATACCGGCTCCAAGAAACAGTTGACCGTTGCTAGAGGGGACTAAGTGCACGGTCCTCGTGGCCGTGCTATGCTCAAAGAGTGGTTGCATGCATCTAGTGTGGAACGCGCTACGACCCAGCCACCGCCTTGTGTACGTCTGGTACGCATGATTCCCCAATTTTATATATATATATATATATATATATATATATATATATATATATATATATATATATATATATATATATATATATATATATATATATATATATATATATATATATATATATATATATATATATATATATATATATATATATATAGTTTGCTACTGCCCGCCTCAAGCCAGGCAGCCCCTGACAAAATTGGTGCGTCTATCCTTGGTCGCAGGAGCGCGTCCTGCTACGGTCGCTAAACACATGTGCATTGTTCCAGATCTTCAAAGGCTGCGTGTGACTGACCTCATGCAGATGCCAATCTGTCTGCAAGCATATGCCCGAGCTGGATCTGCTCCCCACTGTCTTGTTGGGCAGGCTATTGAGCCAAAGATTCCGAGCGGAGTCCCTCAAGCAAAGCTCCGAAGCACAGCCGCCACCTCGCGTACGATTGCCCACCAATGCAATTGTATGTCTGCACGCGAGAAACCCAGCATCGGGTGTTGAAACGCGCGCACGCTACTGGACCGGAACTCGATTGAGCGCCCAGAGCGATGCACTGCATTCGTTGCGATGGAAATGGCGCGCTACAACGTCGATATAGCGGAGCTCAGTGAGACCCGCCTATCAGAGCAAGATAAGTTGCGTGAAGCGCGTGCTAGCTACACGTTCTACTGGGTGGACAACGCCACCTCAGCAGCACAAGAACATGGGGTCGGATTTGCAATATCCGATGGTCCAAATGCCTAGCTCGTGGGTGAACCAAGGTTTCTCAGCGCGACTGATGACTGTTCGCCCACTACTCGGAAGTAGTAAGTTTGCCACTTGTATCAGTACGTAAGGTCCGACCATGTGTTATCCTGGTGACACGCGTGACCAATTCTACACTCAGCTATCCTCCATAATACAGTCTGTGCCGAGGAAAGACCGACTATTTCTGCTGGGTGATTTCAACGCGTGCGTTGGGCGCGATGTATCCGTGTGGACAGATGTCATCCGTCCGCATGTCATTGCTTCAGCGAATGCGAACGGTGACAGACTGCTCTCACTGTGTGCCACTCACGGCCTGACGATCGCGACCACTCGGTTTGCACTGAGTACGAGTGAGATATCAAGCTGGACACACCCACCCGCTTGACTATGTCATCGTACGTTAGCGTGGTATGTGTGAAGTGCGCGTGACACGTGTACTGCGTGGAGCTGAGCTTGGTGCTGAACATAAATTGGTGTGGACCAAAGTTTAGATATATTTTCGTAAATCTATGTATTGCACCCCTATCGTGAACCGGCGTAAATTTAACATTCTCTCCCATAGTAGTATGGAGAAACGTATTGAGCTGGAGAAGGCGATGGCTGCACGACTGTGTGATGTGGAATGCATAACCACAGTGGGCGACCAGTGGCACCACATTCCCGACCAGGTGACAGCTGCTGCCGAGCAGACCATCGGGCGCGCACACTGTAAGCGGCCTGATTTGTTTGATGAGAACAATGCGACGATTGGCACATTGGTGTCAAAGAAGAATGCAGTATTTGCGGAACATGTGGCAGGCCCCAGTGACTTGGGGTATAAAAGAAAGTTAAGCAGAAATCGACGGCGACTGGCCCGAGAGCTCCATCGCATAAAAAAATGCGTGGTGCGCGGAGAAGGCAACTCAGATGGAATGCTACACCGAACGCCGCCAACACAAGGAATTCTTTAACTCCTTGAAGGATGTGTTTGGACCCAGGTTGGGGCCGCTGAGGACGCTGATAGAAGGTAGTTTAGGCGCTACCAGCACACAGACTAAAGACATAATGCAGAGCTGGCAAATGCACTTTCCCTGTCTCTTGAACAACCGTTCGGAGATTGACTGCCCTACTTTGAATGGCCTGAAGTAGCACGATGTGAAGTCGAGTCTGGCGGACACTACGACACTAAATGAGACGCAGAGAGCACTTGCACAGTTGCGGAACGGCAAGTGTGCCGGTGCCGACGGGATCCAGTCTGAAGTATTGAAACACGGCAGACACGCGTTGGTGACTGCGTTGCACCACTTGGTGCAACGCGTGTGGATTGTGGAAGAGGTGCCTCCTGTGCTGAAGAATACCCTTGTGCTACCATTGTACAAGGGCAAAGCGAGCAGGCAATGTTGCACGGATTATCGTGGTATAAACGTGCTGAGTTGTGTGGGCAAGTGATTGCCCGAATCCTGCTCAACCGCCTCGTTTGTGACATCTTTAAATATATTTTCTGACATTTTGAACTTATCGTGGATTTGTTCGTAAACAATTTATTTTATGCGTCAGCGGATCAGTATGCATTATTCGATTTATTGTATTTGATACCGTCGTCTCAAAGGATTGGGTGTTGGTTGATATCGCCGGTGTGGTTGCACTTGATGTGCATGTTGACAAGGTGCCTACCTGTCTATTACCCGCTACCTCGCCTACACTGGTTCCAGGAGACAGTTTGTCGTTGCTGGAGGGGACGGGGTGCACGGTTCTCGTGGCCGTGCTGGGCTCGAAAAGTGGTTTCATGCACCCAGTATGGAGCGAACTACGGTACAGCCACAGCGTTGTGAGCGATTGATTCCCCAAATACAGCGTGCTTGTGTTTGTCTGTAAAGGAGTGTGGGCCGGTTGCATTGAGGAAAGGTGGCTCCTATCCATATGCCTCCCGGTCTTATTCTTCTTGGTGTTCACTGGATATGGGGTGTGTGGAGCAACGCAAGCCACCCAAAATCCTTCTGTTGGTGCAGGATTCCTGTGGCTGGTCACAGTGACAGGCAAATCCGAAACCGGATGCAGCCACTATATATATATATATATATATATATATATATATATATATATATATATACGCAAGTATCTATACAATAGACATAGAACCATCGAAAACCATGGGAGGAGTCGGATTAAGTAAAAAGATCATACAGTGGGAAGCAGACAAAGATGCTTTCCGTATTTTACATACGCCGTTTTATTGTTTAGTTAGTTTAGTGGTTACAATGTTGATGAGTAGAATCAACACATAAACTCATGCAAATCTTTCACTCTCTCCGATTCTGCGTCATATTCGCAAGTCTCCTACCAGCGATAATCTTCATTTTCGACTCCACAGTCCAGAAAGTGTACGAGGCCGACAATAGATAGACTGGAAATCAGCTCTCTGACACATTTTCAACGACGGATGTTTCAGATAATTGAGGAAAACAACGAATGTGATGAGAATACCATATAGGTGTAAAAACGAACTGTTACGGAACAAGTTAATGCGCACACCATACGGACAGGAAAAGGGTCAAATTACCATTTAATGATATTGTCCAAGTATGTATCATGAAGGTTCATCAAGTCATCCAAGTGCACCACATGTTCCGCATTGGAGAGAATTGGCGCGTTCCAGTCCGCCTGTTGAGATGCTTCCAAAGAACCCGTAATACGGGCGATGAATGTGGACCAACTGGCTTTGATCGCTTGGTTTGTGAGATAGCCCTCCACGCCACGTAACACTTGGTTCATCTCGTGGAGCCAAAGAGTGATATTGTGTATATCAGCCAGGCTGGAGGCACGAGCAACGTACAAGTATCTGTTCTGTCGGAGCCAGCGGTACACGTTATTAAGAGACCAGACGATGAACTTAATGTGCATCAATTGCCTGAAAATTAAATTATATTTGTACATTGCCCGGTTGTTGATGAGAATGTTGAGCGGCCAAGGAGCTCGGTACACCAAAGTTATATGGTTAAAGGAAGGAACCATTGGGACACCCTCTGTGATCCACTTAGAGGCGCTTTCCCGTTTAGAGGGAACCAAGTCAATAGACGCTCGAATAACTAGCGGAGTGCAATCGGTAGCCCAAAATGGAAACTGCTCAAAATCGCTGGTTTCATTGCTAGAAGTAAAAAACTTTGAGGCGGCGGATTGCATCAAATCGTGTAGAAAAGTAGCTTCATGCAGTTTGGACTGTTCTGTGAGTAAGCCGGTGGCCTGAGAAAAGAGGAATGAAAACGATATTAGGAGTGTATATGGAGGTAGTGATAGTTACCCAGTAGGCGATATCTGAATGTCTGTTCGCGCATGAAAACTTGTGGATGAAAGGTCGATACTATTTGGAGGACGATAATTTACATTTAGAAGGGAGGATGCAGAAAAGATGTACAGTAACAAGATGAGCACCATAATAGAAACTGGTACGAAAGTCAGCTGCGAGAGGACTCAAAGGAAAGCCGACTGTTACAGGATGCAGTAGTTGGCCGTTGAGTGAGTTGTTTGATCTAAACACTTCATGCGAAAGCAATCATTTGAGGGATGATTCAAGGACGGCTGGCAGTACATTGTATCGTGTGGGTGGACCCGGTTAGGATGAAGGTGGAAAAGCGATAACGTACTTGCCAGACACCGTGTCACATTGAAAATGATGTCATTGGTGTAGGTCGAGCAAAAACAAGGAAAGCGCATGGCAGCTAGCAACCTGCTAGTAATGTAGACTTCGAAGACTGCCGGTGCCCACACGGCAACAGACCATTCAGGGTGAGTGGCAGATGAAATGAACAGCCCTGTGCTAGTTTCGGGGAAAATAGTGATAAGTGATGTGGAGCAAGATGTGCGGGTGAGTGTTGAGGGCAGATGTGAGTGATTCAGAGGCAATGCGAAATATGCTTGCTTGCGTCGTTATATCGACAACATAAAAGCTTCGGGAGGATTGAGGAGTAACTACAATATACCTAGCAATGTGGTGTCAATGGTAGTTGGCCATTTTGCATTGGTATCACATTAAAGAAATGGACGGAGCCACACCCAGGCGAATATCCGAACGTGAAAACAAAATCACAAAGAACCATGGGTACGGTCACTTACCTGTTGAAACAACCTATCAAGAAGAAGATCACGAAATTCACTATGTTCCAGAAAGCACACTTGTCTTAGACAACTGAAGTGTTCCAGTAGTCCATGATCGTACAAGAGATGGTCGCGCAACGCCGTATCTACTAGATGAATGCTGAAACATATTGATGCGGAACGATGTTAGTAGTGCACCAATAAAAAGAATGTAGTAGTGAGGGTAAGAGTATACAAATAAAAGAAGCGAGAGTGAACACGAAAGGTGAGTGACAGGACCGGATGGCAAGATCCAGAGAATGAGTAATGGCTGATTATGAAGCAGGGTAGTGAAAGCCTGAGATAGCCGTCCGGCCGATGCCGACTTATATTCACACCATAGCCAACCACTTGTGATCATGCGTTTGCCTTGAGTATTTGTTTAGGGTATAAAGATTTAACGTTAGGTCCGCATTCTTTCACTCATATTATTGTCCACTCTCTAGGTCATCGTGGTTCTACGGCAGCAAAGCATCAGTTCAACTGGCTGATGAATCGTTGTTGGTGATGATGCGGACTGATTAATTTTCTCGGAATATGTTCGACCCTTCCTTTAACTGGACTACTGATAAGGCCTTTAAAACTGTAACATACAAGCAACTTCCGCGAAAGCCTCGAAACTCTGCAAGCAATTCGCGTTTTTGTTGAATTGGGTCGCAAAGTCAACACTTTCAGACGATTTACTAAGTAATGTTTTGGTAAAGTGAGTAGGCGCCATTTTTGATGGCAAGTTGGCCTAAGGCGTTGGCAACAGAATACAAACACTCAATGATTCCCCTCCCAGGCAATGTGTGGTCGTTGCTTGATGAAACTGCTGATATACCAGGTGTTATCCAGCGAATGCATATTTGTATGATTGTTTTGTAATGTTGCAAGCAAGACCAAAAACAGATTGCATTCCTAACGAGATTTGGCAATTCACCCGAGAAACGATTAGGTGCCGGCCTCTCATCGGTCGACACAAATTCATATCATTCAGCTTTTGACATCCGAAAGTTTTCCTGTATGTAAAGCAACGCGCAAGGCTTACTGATTAAACCTTCCGAAATGCGGCTAAGAAAAATCGAAGGTCGGTGACTTCATCACTATAGGACAGACATGGTTACGCCCCGACATTAGTGGCATCGAAATTGTACTGTCAGGCATGTCGGTTGTCAGGCATCTAAGGTCATCGATAGAGAAGGAGCGAATATGTGAACACGGTCCGCAGCAGTTAAAATAATTCAGCTGAAAAAGTGAGGCGCTGTGTGTGATGGGATTGTGCAAGCAGAAAAACTTACGGATTTACATGGCGAAGTAAGCGGTTAGCTTGCCACAAGCGAACAGAGCAGTTGATTAGACGCATATGTATATTTCGCCTATGTGCTGATTGGTTCGTATTTGGCTACGATGGAGGGGGTTTGTTTAACGGATCCAAAGGAAGAATCTTATTAATACAGAAGCGTCGTTAGTTATGGAAGTGAGCGCCAGTTATTTACATCGAGATTCTTACATGCTTGTCAGGCTGTCATTTTTGCTGAGCTTGCTTTGTCGGATAAACCGTTTGTCTCTGAAGGACCGAGTTCTGCGACACTGTGTAACTTACCTCTTTGATGGCATGCGAACGTGCTTTTGTCGGAATGAAACTAAGATAAGCTTATAAGTCTCTACCAACCAACTTGCCCAATACCAACGGAAAAAGTAACTGATTGGACAAAGACAAGATAGAAACTATGAAAATCAAATTAAACCACAGTGGGCAAACCATGATTGCACCTGAGTAGCCCAAAAAGTAAGGTGAGTGGGGTGGTAAACGAACTTACTAGGAAGTGAGAGGCCGTACGACCGCGCAATCTATTAATGCAGTCAGAGGGGCTGCGTGTGAAGCACAAAGCGGAGGAGTATCATGAGAGTCAGGCTGGTCCGAAGGAGCACGCAGTCGGGTAACCCTGAGAGTATCAACGAACGACGACTGATCTGCAACCGTATGAGACGAGAAAGGTGATTGAGGATGGTGCCTGTAAACGATGAAAGAAGTAACTTCGGAACGACAAGCTAAAACTCAATAAGATGATTGCGTAAAGAACGCTGGTTATGGTGGAAATGTGGGGCTCAGCTTCGAGCCGACAAAATGTTGCTCGATTGCTCTCGATTATTTGCAAGAATTTCCTGTCGAGGACAGATAGTTGTGACCATCTCTGATCAAGGCTAGTCATGAGCAACAATGATCGCCAAAACGCGTCCTCCCAGATTCCTACTTGCTGAAATCAGAACTAAAATCGAGACTGTAACATGAGAAAGCGATGGTAGCGGGAGAAAAAGCTCAGCTGTGACACATCCAATGGTGCATATCTGTCCAAAAAGTGGAGGGGGGTATCTTCGGGTCCCAACGAAGTGTTGTCTTCTGCTGGCCTACTCGGAAGAAGTGACACACAGTAGTTGACTGGGGAACATTTCATAACAATAATTCAACTTAACGGAAGGTGACCCAGGCCGCATTGCCGAAGAATAAATTAAGTTACAGCTTCCTCTCAAGAATTGTGAGACAGAGATGCAAACTGTCACCTCCGTTTTTATCCTCACCATTGACGAAACTATGGGAAGTACATCCAAGGGAAGCAATTTAGATGTGAAGCCGCCCCCAGATGAGTAACCTCACGACTTGGAGTATCTCCACCATTATTTCACACACCAGGCTCCAAAGGCTGGACCATGTATTACGCGTGCCAGCACACCGACTCCCGCGTCGTGCATTGTCTGCGAAGCCGGGGTCTGGATGGCAGAAGAAGAAGAGGGGAGGCTAACCGGGAACTTGGTCAAGGTCTTCATTTCGAAGTTGGCCTCGGCTGTAGTCTCTCAACTCCGTAGTTGGGGTCCGAAAGAAAATGAATGCGCTAGGCTGGATACACATGTTCAAATGGCGAAGAAATGAACTCAGTGGCGTTTGTGTTGTGAGTTTCTTTGTCACCCCCTTCAAGGGTGGTTTCACGCACGACTTATGACATAATGTTTCGTTTTATTATGCCCTTCTTGTTGCTTTCCTTTCTCAATGTTTGCTACTACCATCCTATTGGTTTACATTGTAACGCAACAGCTGGAATGTTTTTGCACTTTTAGCTAACATGTATACGGATGATGATTCAAATAAGGAAGGCAATACGGTTAATTCCAATTACACTACTCAGAAAACCCCCAATAATCTCAATTCCAACATGTTGGATCAACTGGACAATGTTGGTGGTTTGTAGAACAATTCAATTAAACCGAGGAGTAGTAAGTCGATTATCGCTAAAACGTGATAAGAGCAGCCTTAAAACAAGTTTTGTTGTGCGAGGACTAAAATATATCAGAAAAGAGAAGATTGCGTGAGGATTGGACGGTCAGAAGTTGGAGAATAGGTCAGAAGATAGCAAATAGGAATAAGTTCTAGAGCGGTTAAATGTGATAGACGATGCAGAGAAACGAGGTAAAAACACGTATGGTATCGAAAAACATCCAACACACCTCACACAAACAGGCAAGGATCAGTGTGCATGTAGTCCGTTCCCCGTATAGTAATATGAAATGGGACTGAACTTTGTGTAACTAATGAATGCAGCTAACAGGAGCTGGCCAAAAAAGGAGGGAGATTGCGCGAAATACTGCGAGGTAGACACATGATATTTGGTCAGAAAAGTGGAAATAGCCATCAAGCGCAGAAGCAGCAAAACATCAATAGTACGTTTGGTGCACTGACAACCGTAAATGGTGGCAAATGGGCTGGAATACTATCAGGTTGGGTGTGAATCAAGATATATGTTAGAAAAGTGTAAAAACAAATATTTGCACCAGTAGCGTAAAAAGGAAGGGACGTACCGCAATCAGGGAAAGCCATGGTGAATGCCAAGGAGCATGCCTCAGGGTGAAGCTCTAACGCTTCGTGATAAAAGGCGCTGGCATCGGGCTGATTAGCAAATTTAGCTGCTTCTTCCAAGTCCCGAACCGCGCGTTGTGCTTCCCAAGCTAAGAGAAGAATGACCGGTGGAAAAGTACACATTAGAAGGAAAACGATCTGAGCGGGTGAGATAGTAGCTTCTGGAGAACAAATGGTACACATCTAGATGAGAACGGTGGTCCGGAGACGGGACGCAAACAAGTGTAAGAGAATATCGCTTCAATAAAAGCAGCAAGTTCTTTTGGCAGTTAGCATTGTTGAACCACTGTACCAGAGCATGGTGGACACAGTTCTCTTGACTCGTAGCACAAATAAAATGACCGTAGAGCGGAGAAGCAAAATATAAGAGTTGATAGAAATACACTGGGACAGCTGATGCCATCAGCATTTTTGAAACCGAGGACAGAAAAAAACACCAAATGCGTGTCCGTCATGTGAGGGATAGAAGGCAGCCCTTCCGACATGAAGCAGCCCATATACAGATATAAGAAGCGATGGCGCTGAGATAAGTTCAACTAAAGATCACGGACAAGTGGTTTCTTGCAACCTCTGTATGATCAGTGATCGTGCGTTGGCACTCACCGACAAAAAAAAAGGACCGACTGTAATGTGACAGCTTATTGGTCAAGGTTGGTACTACATATGACGGGAATAAATTATGAGTGAGAGCGAGCGAAGTCCGATCTGAGAAGAACAGAGTCGACAACGGGTTTTCCTGCATTAGCAGGGTCTGTTTGGACTCTTTGTCCCCTCGCAAGCCGGAGAAAATTGTCTTCATTTGGTATTTTCTCGCCTGCGCTTATTTCAGGCAGGTAATCCCACCAACAGAGACACGCTCAATCTATAAAATAACACTCTCCGCTCCAAAGATGACGCAGGTTCAAGAAGGTAGCTCTGACCTTTGCAATGCGTGAACTGACGTCAGCTTCTATGCACCCATGGTTGCTGATGCAGATGCCAAGATAAGTGAAATGATCAACTACCTCGAGTTCCTCGTTAGCAAGCGTCAAGGAGTCATAAGGTGGCTGGCAGTCCTGCAGCAACACTTTGCACTTTGAAGGTGCAAAGTGCATACCAAATAATGTGACCACTCTAGACAGGTTATTCAGGGTTGATTGTGCCGCCCCAACATCGTCGAAAAGCAAAACGATATCGTCTGCATAATCTAGATCAACTAATCTTTCACCAGGCAGCACTTCAACGCATACATCGTGAGATTCCGCAAGGGAATACTCCATGATAGAATCCACAACGAAATTGAACAAAAACGGGGAAATCGGACAACCCTGGCGAACGCCACTTGTGGTCGGAAAGCTAGAACATAGAACGCCGTAAACCCTGACGCGGCCTGTAGTGTTCGAGTGTAGAGCACGAAGGATGTTTAAATATTTCGTGGGAACACCTTTCCGCGCAAGTATTTCGAACAGAATCGATCGATCAACTGAACCGAACGCACTCTTGAAATCGAGGAACACAGCTATTGTCGGTCTGCGGTATGCGTGGCGCTGCTCTTGCACCTGCCGCAAATTGAATATATGGTCTATACAGCCACGCCCTGGGCGGAAACCGGCCTGTTCTTCCCTAATCCGAGATTCCCGTTCCGCAGTGAGGCGACGAACGAGAATCGAGGCCAATAATTTTGTTACAACTGGCGTTAGGCTAACACCCCTGTGGTTAGAACAGTTTGTGTGACTGCCCTTCTTGTATATTGCCACTATAATCGATTCGCTCCAATTAGCCGGGACGCTCTCTTCTTTCCAGGCACATTCGAATAAGGAGGTTAGTGCTTTGCAGTGGACCTCACCTCCATCCCCAAATAGTGCAGGTGGGAGGGAATCCGGGCCAGCGGCACGAAAACGATTAAGGGCTGTGATCGCGTTTCGGTTCTCGGCTTCCGACGGAGGCTCTAAACTAACCGTCCGTGGCTTGTACTGCATCACCTGAGTAGGATGAGGTCCGGGAGCAGGGGGCCAGCTGAACTGATTTTGAAAGTGTTCCGCCCAACAAGCCATACGGCGCTCCTTATTGTGTATCAGTGCACCTGCGCTGTCTCTGATTATCTCACTGACGCCCGGTTTTCTGGGACCAGTGGTGCGGATAAGCTGGAGTAGCTTGTGGTAATTGCCTATTGCTCCTGCCTCCTCCATTTCTGGAGCCCTACTGGTCCACCAGGCGTCCTTGTCAGCACGCAGGCTCTGCTTTCGTTCACGCCTAATAGCCCGTCTCGTCACATTGTGTTCAGAGCCAGCCGGGAGGTGTCTTCTAGATGCCAACAGCTTCACCAACCTCTCGGATATCCAGTGACTGGTGCGGTGACGATTGATAGTGCAACAAGCAGATGCTGCTGCGTCGTGCATGGCGGCCGAGATCCTATTCCACTGAAGCTCAGCGTCATTAGGACAAGACAGCAGAAGTTCGGTATACAGTGTTTCTTGATAGGCTTGTCTGACCGAGGACTGAGACAATTTCTCCGTTGCTAATCGTAGGGGACGCTTGGTGCACCTACCGGTGAAGTTCATGGAGAAACGACAGCGTACCAAGGCATGATCAGAGTCGACACAGGTACTCCAGTATGAGCGGCAATCCAGGATGGAACCACGCCACCTGTAACTTATGGCTTTGTAGTCAATTTGGGTCCATGGCTGACCAGCTACAGGAGGACGCCAAGTGGCACTTCAGCGCCCACTGTGATCTAAAAGCAGTGCTACTAAGAAACAACTGGTGCTCCGCACACAGTTGCAGCAGACGCTCGCCGTTGTCGGTCCGTTCGGAGTTAAGCCCATACTTACCACCCAGCTGAGCTTCTGAAGAGCTCAGACACCCTACTTGCGCGTTCATATCCCCTGCAAGTACTATAATATCTGAACTAGTAGCACTGCGTAGTAGCGCATTCAGTTCGTCATAGAATGTGTCCTTGAGAGCATTTGAATTGCGGTCAGTGGGAGGATAAATGGAAATCACAAACAAATAGCGTTTTTTACTACTTAGTGAATCCAACTTGGCTGATGTCGTCAAACGGGCTGCACATAAACGGCTATTCACCGGAATCCAATCAACCAACGATAGCGCAGCCTTGGAACTTAGAATGATACGTACACCAGCTCGACCCGTGGGAGCTGTATAGGCGTCTGCGGAGGCTTGCAACCAATAGCGAGAGGACAAGCCGGGTGCAGTTAATTCAACAACCCCATTAGGGTCATTGATCCTAGTTTCGGACACACAACACACATCAATACCCAGTGTGTCCAAGGTGCATGCGAGTGCGGCCTGTTGACCTGTTTGTCTTAGAGTGTGAACGTTGAACGTCGCCATGGAAACGGGACAGCGTGGTCTCATAAGGGACCGTTGCCGATAGGCGTCCGGTGCGTATCGCGAGGTGGCTGCAGATGGTTCTACTTCAGTGGCACTTCGGTTGCTGTCACTTAAATTGGGAAGTATAGAAGGAAGGTTAATAATGGAAATCGGGATGGGGTTAAGAGAAAAAGGTGGAAAAGAAAGAAGGGAGGCGCCAGCAGTAGCATGTTTTCGCTTATCCGCCCTGCTGTATGCAGCAGATAAGGCGACCCTTGATAATCTGCGCGACGGCTGATGCATGATGAAGTTTGTGTTTGAAGAAAATGTCATGGTTGTATGTGGGCAGGAATACTGCCAGGGCGTCCAGACCTAGACAAGAGGACGATTGGGTCCTCATCCGAAGCCTTTGGCTCAAAAGGCTGTCCGCAAGGCCGCGGGGAAGTGGCAATGATTTAGTTTTACGGAAATTGACGCCATCCCATTTCAAACCCCCAAGCTTGAGAACCACCAGACTGAGTTTGTCTGACCTCTCACCATTGACCAACCTGGTAGGAGTATCTCTCAAGATGCCCGCAGGCACCACCCAGTATAGCTCAATGGATCAAAGAGGTACGCAAACCACCGCACCACGTTAAGGTCCAGTCTCGTTGCGACGTGGTGTGTGCACCGTGCGTCGGTTTATCTAACATGCAGCCGTTGGGCATTGTGAGCTTCCACCAGTCCAGTAGGCAGTAACCAGCATATTGCAACGTTTCGCAAAGTTTAGGACGTCCTCATAACGGTAACGTAGGACAGAAGTATACCATAATGGGCTGGTTCCCAAACCAAGTAACAGGTACTGGTAACCATTAATTTTGTTGTTAGTTGTGAGGCCATATGCCTCGGATCTCGAGCACAAACTGTACATGAACGGCACAACCAAATACGAAGCTGGGCCCAATGTCCAAGAGATGCATCAGTCATGCTGTACCTGTGCTTCGCTCCCACACAATCACCACCACTGATGTGTAGGAGGCCGGACGCATACACACAGATCCAGACCGGCGTTCTCTAGATTATAAAGCGGACGCCTAATCTTTCTGACCACCGGTTAGATGTCCAAACATCGAACGAACGGTGGTGACCGAGGTCAAGCTAGATCCAAAGAAACAATACGTCATTTAATTGTAAACCTGAGAGATTTGAAAATTATTACTGCAGTCGCTCGGTGACGCTAAAAGGATTATGAACAGCGTACTGCAGCGAAACTGATGATGTGTAGCGTCAACTGCACCCACCTACTAGTGTGAACCACTATGATAAGTTAACAAAGTCAACTGTACCGCATTTATATCCCCTACAACAACAATGATAGCTGAACTACTAACACAAAGCTGCACGCGAGGACACCAGTATAAACTTATCGTCCCGGATTTGAAGCGGGTCGCCCATCAACTCTGTTTCGAACGCAGAGTGGTGAACGTCTGGAACGTCCTGCCTCAGCATATAGTAGAAGCGAACACAGTGGCTAAATTCAAGATGCTACTAGACAAACAATTTGCAGAGGCAAAGTACAAAGAGCGAAACGATAAATAAAGAGTTCATGTCCGAAAACGACGAATGATGCAGCTACACAGAGCAAACTCTACTCGCTGCTTCGCACCAGTTCTCAGTTCTCAGTTCTCAGCTTGTCCAGTTAGTAGTAGGTAACCATGGTAACATCAGAACTGCAGTCAGTGGGAGCGAAAGCGGAAACCGCAAACAAACAGCTTCTAGTATTAACTCGGGAATCAAC